GGCACTGGCAGCATGGAGAGTAAGAACGTATTGTCATCCTAATAATCATTCATAGCATCAACTCTTTTGTTTGTTTTGTTATTTCCTCTTATGTAAATGCCATTTACACGTTGCCTCCAGCAACTCTCCCTCACTTGCAAGCCATCTGAGCAGTACAAGGGTCAGGAAGAACAGTACCCAGACCATTCCTCACGGGGCATAAAGCTGCAGTGGAGGGAGATTTTCCTCCGTTTCTACGGCAAACAACACTCCTACCGACACCCCGAGGGCTGCATCGACACGGATGGCGGACTAAACAGTGCAGATAAGATGCACGAGGAGAAGGAAGGAAAATGGAATGCAGCTCGATGCATTTGGTGTGAGAGTCATACAGAGTAGAAGAAGGTCGAACCTGACCCTCCCCAGATCAGCTCAGTCACCATCTGTCTTTCTATTAGAAACACCACACATAATAGCAGCAGCACGCTCTGTCCTGATTCTAATCACAGGACACGCTGCTCCTCTGGTAAGAGAGAAACAACTGGTAATTAGTGACAGCAATTCATTTTGTGACTGGACACAACTGGCCAAAGATGGCAATGTTTCTGATCAGAGAGCCGAGTGGAGTAATCAGAGAACATTCAGAACCTAAAGAAATTGTGAAATGTTTCCAGCTAGATGAGATAAAAAAGGCAAGTCTCATCTAATGAAAAACAGACAGTGTGCTGTGAAACACTGTGAAAAAAAGAACTAAATGAGACAAATAAATAAAAAGCCATCCATCAAACTAGGAAAGAGTATGTCTGGAATGCACTTTTTTTAATGGCCCAAACACACCACATGTTTGTGAGAGGGTTCGAGCAACATGACAGATTTGTATAAACTCCTTTCATACTTAATGCAAGCGAAATGTGTTAAAAATGGGAACATAAGCATGTCCATCATTGTGATAGCACTTACACCAATTGGGTTTTGGCCTGCATTTCAACCCCAAATTGCCTCCACTGTGTTCTTCTCTTATTGGTCGGTTTACATAAAAAGCAACTTCACTTTTATCCAGTGAATCTAAATTAATGTAATCTAAAATGAGATGGAAGAATTTGCAATAAATCTACATTTAAAACTAACAGGACCAAGGAGCCAGAAAGAGCAAACCTGTTTTTTCCTGCATGGCTTGAAAACAAAGAGTTCCCTGCCAAAAAAAAAAATCTGATGGCATTTCCCCAGGAACCTTCCCACAGTGTCAAAACAACCGGTCTGAAACACAGCTCGTCATTACCGACTGCTGTTGAGCAACACCTAAGCTACGCTTTCTGTATGTCAGAACCCTGCCTGTCAACACACACCCCCCCCACACACACACACACACACTGCTGCACTTTAACCATCAGTAGTCCTGAATGCCACTTTTTGAAGCATGTTCATTGTCAGGGGTGGCATGGGCTCAGCCACTCAGAGGTCAGAGGTTCACAGGGGAGTCATACCTGATGGTACTGCCGTACTCAGGACTGGCTGCAGCTAAAACGGTCGCCTGCTGCTGAGTAACCCTGACTGCGCTCAGGGAAAGAGGCCACTGACATTAGAACCCGCTGTCCGATGAAGCCAAAGAGATAAAGATGAAACACTACCAGCCTGCTTTCTATAAGTGTGCCAGTCTCTGATGGGCCATAGCCTAAACCAATGCTGAAACGGGATCTGCCCTGCTGCAGGGGCAGAGGAGCAGTCAGGAGAGGGCAGGGTCTCTGGGGACTTGTGTGTTTGCTTCTGTGTGTGCACTGTCTGCCTTTGCTTTGGCTGCTGCTAAACAGAGCAGCACACACCGTTTAATGAAGGGGAGTGCGTGCAAAGAGGGTCATTCTGACTCCCCAACTCTGACTGCAGAATAACTGTTTTGTCGTATTCTCACATCGCCCCCTTCCCCTCCCAATCTTGAGGGAGGGACAGGGAGCAACTGTTCTTTCTAAATTTGTCTGCTGAAAAAAAAAGAAAAAAAAACCTACGTACGTCCAAGTGAGCGCGTCTGTGAGCAGACAGGGCTGCTGTTCAGGCTGTCTCTGTGGGCATTGACGCTCCTCTTTTTATAAACCAGGCACCACCTTTTAGCCCTCCTCCTTCGGCTCTGAGGGCTCTTTGTATTAAGGCATCCTTGGATTTTTCCAAGTGCTCAATACATATTAATAATGCAGAAAAATAATACACACTTGCATGTTAATTTAATGCAGAGGCAGCATGTCTGTCAGTCGAGGGGATCCATTAACCAGAAATGTACCTGCATGCAAAGAGCCTGCAACGTCTGGACATTAAAAGGCGATAGATAATAATAGTGCATAAAACAATGACGGTAGAGATTTCAGAGACATATGCTGCATGACTGCACGCACCCCTTCACAATGCGGACACAGAAATTCCAACTACCTACCCTCACTGGTCATTTCATAATAATAACAGCCTCTCAACACCCTTGGCTTGTAAATCATACCTCTTGTAATAACTAGAGGTCACAGCTACTGTCCACAGGTTGGAATGAATCATAACTGAAGAACAAGGAAAAGAAACCATTGATCATTTAGATCCTGGAGAACTGATGGCACCTCCTCACAGAGAACGAGACGCTGACACAACAAAGCAGATACTAATTTAAATACGATCTCCCCTTAGCCTATAGAACAGGAACCTCATCCAAAAGCAACCTTCAGACAGAAAGGGATGGCTTTGCCGAGACAAGTGTTCACCATAGTAACACCAGAAACGGTCTGTCGTAAACCTATCAGAGCAGGAACGGGAAAAAATAAGTGAATGTAGACATGGCAGAGCCAGTCCTAACCTTTGTTCTATAGGGAAATACAAAGCCACCCACACCAAATATCCTAGAAAGTGATTTGTTTCTTCCTCGAGGTGGAATAAACGAGGTAGGGTAAAGATGCTGTGTCCAACTTATTACCATAGCGACATGCATGGGCAGTGACTAATAACGGTGTCGGGGGAGGTGTCCTACTGTGTGTGCATGTACACACAAAGTGCACATAAACATCCTAATGTCTGACACTCCCACACGTGTGCCTATTCCGTGTCTCTCCAAGGACACCGCAGGTACCCCTCAATGAAAACTGCAATGTCCTCGGAAAAGCAGGACAGTGCGGCTCCTCCCCTCTGGGCCGCCGCAAATTGAGATGGGCTTTATATTAAGGGGTTTGGGGAAAGTTTGAGGGGAAACCCTCCTCCAGCTATGGGTAGCTTACATACTGACACAAGTGCTTTGGAGAAACATGGAAATGATATCTGAGTGGACAGATAAAGCATTGACGGGTTGGCAACGGTTCAGTGAAGCTGTCAAAAAGGCAAGAGACCAATTACAAAGAGGGCACAGCTTGGACTCTGGAAGATAAAAATACTCAAAACCCACCCAGTGTCTAGTTTCCATGGTTATCTGAATATGTGCAGGAATAAAAACAGACCAACCCCCCCTTTATCTGCTCCTTCTGACATGTCAGAACATGTTGCCTCAAACACTCCTTTACTGGAAGGAAACAGATGATCGCGTTGCAAGGCCTCTGAAAAAAAAAACAATCAGGGTCAACGCTGCTTTTGACAGAAATCTCTGCGAGCTTCTCGAGCGCTGACAAATTTCCACTGACTGGAGCACCTTTTCAAGGTTAAGGCAAAGCCAGCCGGCATCAGAGGCTGTTTATTCCTCGTTTGTTTTGCGTGTTCGATAGCTCTGCTGCACTGGCTCCCAGTGACGCAGCGGCCTGATCAATACTTGGTCTTTAGGACGGGCGGAGCGGGCAGCGAACGCGCTCCATGAGATGTGCAATGTGGAACAGGGAGCGCTGTTGGCGCCGTGCGGTGATGCTGTGCAACCACCTTAATGCCGTCACCGGTCCGGTCAGCTGGCAGAGAAACACAGCTAAAAGACTCAAACATACACCTGTCAGCTAAGCAGGTGCTTGATGAACCAAATTGTGAGGCACACTGGGATAGAAAAGCTTGACGTAAAAAACTTAAATGAAATTTCTTCTTTTTTTTTTAAAGCTTTTTTTTTTTTTTTTTTAAATCGGGAATATGTCAGTATATTTAGAAGAAAAAAAAAATCAATCACAATTACACTCATATATTCAGTCATATATTCAATGGGTAACAAAATCAAAGAAAAAAGTTCCAGCCTGACAAGAAGACTCCAGGAGTGTGAGGCACAGATTGTCCCAACAATCCAACGACAAAACCAAGACAGACAAGAGATTATCTGGTAAACTATGAGAACTATGCGGACTGCGTCCTGTGTCAGCCAAGGATGCCTCGGAAAAAGAATGTAAAACATGTAAACATGTCTGAAGGTAAAACACAATGACAAAAACAACCTGCTACCACTTAAACACAGCAGAGCCTTGTCAGTTCTGGTTTAACACGAGAGCATGTTCGTTACGGCAGCCAGCTTCCTTTGTGCGCGCACATACCTACAAACACAGCAGCATTGTACACACCGACAAAGGCAGACAGTATTGGCCCATTAATCATAAGCAACCTAGTTTTGCTTTTCCCAACACGTCCGTCTCCCATGTGCCTCTGGCTCGGGGTTGACTCTGCAGTCTGTATTTACCTCAGTGAGGCGCAGAGGTCACATGCGGTGGAGAAATTTTGGGATCAACATACGTGCGTGCGCATTTACTCCTTGTAAGTTTCAGCAGGATCCATCCACCAACTTCTAAATCCATTAAAATTTAATCATCCCATCCGCTTTCGATAGAAATTAAATCAGCTGGGATAACTGTGTTAAACGCTGTGTAACCCCAGAGCATGGCATGCTTCTAGTCACATACCAGACCAGCATTGTTTGTGCCGCAAAGCCAGATTAGGGGAGCTGCTCAAGTCAGCGAAGCAGCATCTATTTATTCAAATAAATTCATCAACTCTGGGCTATGTAAGGCACTCAATTGCTTTTGTGTTCTGACATAATTCCTCCAGTTTGTACAAGTGTCAGTCATAAGCAAAGAGCATAAAAAGGATTACAGGACGGGACTGGTTCACACTCTATGCTGAAGGGATTTCACGTTTACAATACAAGGCCTACCCAGATAGAGAGACGCGTTCTCCTTCTTCACGTTGTCATCCAGGTAGGTGGGCCCCAGCGTGTAGATCGGCGTCGACCCCATGCCAACAAGTATCTGGGCGCAGATGAACAAAGCTACATACAGGTTGTGCTCGTTGCCCTCCTGGTCGCGGGGGCACGATGCCACGTCCAGCTCCCGCCCGCTGCTGTTGCCAGTGTGACAGAGGCCTTCGTGGCCGGTGGAGGAGTTCATCTCTTGGATCTGGTACGGTGGGGAGATGAAGTGGGGCAGGGAAAACAACGCTGCTCCAATCGCTATCACAACGCCGCCTACAGCCAGCCAGCGTGGCCTCTGACCTCTGCCCCCAAAGTAGGAGATGAAAACGACCACCAGCAAGCTGCCGATGTCGAAGCAGCTGACCAGCAGGCCGGACTCTGAGCTCCGCAGGCTGTAGCGCTTCTCGATGGTGGTGATGACGCTACTCAGGTAGCCCGAAACCATCAGGGACTGAATGAAGGTCAAGTAGCACATGCAGAACAGGAAGCAGCGCGAGTCACTTAAGATCACTCGCACATACTTTCTGGCCGGGATGTGGATAAAGCGAGCCAGAGAGAAACCAAGCGTTTTGCTTCCACAGCCCTTGGGCCTGGGGCCCTCCATGGGCAGAGAGCTGCTGAGCCCCACCATGCTGGAGACAGAGGGAGAGAAGTCTGTCCTGGAGGAGGGAGATTCTGCCAGGCTGGAGTCTGGCGTTCTCAGCTGGAGCTCTCTTCTCTCCTCCACGGCCACACAGGTGGGGGTCATGTTGAGCAGCCCAGGATCGACAGGCTTTCCATCTTGCTGGCAGGGTCCGTTCAGGATGGGTAAACTTTTGGACTTGAAGCTGTTCCCTGCATCCATGTATTGGTCCTGGAGCTCACAGATCTCCAGAGACTCGGACAGGTCACTCCCCGTTTCGTCATTGTCCGACGAAGGCATGGTGCAGCTGGACTATGAGATTCAGTCAGCTCCTTGTTGGCCTGACAAATCCTTCACAAACCGGTGCACATGAGGACACTGTGGAGCTGCTGGAGGGCAGGGTGTTTGGGAGAAGACTGCCAGTAGCACCGAGGCAGACTGAACCCCTCTAGTTATGAGCATGTTCTGCTCCACATTTCTCCTCCTAGCAATGCTGCTCTAACAGAAGAATCCACTGATATTGGCTCTTTGTTAGATGGAAACCTTGCTTCAAAGCTTTATGTTTCCTTTGTCCCATTGCTGTGCAGCATCCTAGAAAACAGACACAAATGGCAAACGGTCATCAGCTAACAATACCCATAACACACTGTATGGCTGTTCAAATTAAATCCTTGTGACTTCTGTCATTGGTATTGTTGTATGTACACATCGGATTACAGCAGCCGTTTAATATCGTAAACATGCTATACAATACCGGTAAATATAACGCCACTCAAAAATTTGAAAATAAAATAAATAAGAAAACACACACTACCAACAAACGCAAATCTGTCAAAAGAGTGTCTCAGTGGTAACCCGAAATAAATATCCGCTTCTCTTTTTTTTAAAGAGAAACAGAAATTATACCATGAGAACAAAAGACCACGCTGTCCACAAATGTCATGTCAGACAAACACTCAATTATTTAAAAAAAAAAACTCAACAGAAAATAAAGCCCTGTAAATAGAAACTGTAATATCCGCCTCGTGAGCGAACATAAAAAGCGAATTTGACCTAACTTGGCGGAGAGGTTAACGGTGGAGGGTTGTACTCACACAGGACTGAGGGAGGTAGCCTGTTGTTCTCTGCGTAGCAACCACAAAGTGAATGGCTGTGTTTGAGGATGACTGCTGCAGCCGGAGGAGGTGGGATAAAGCCTTCACCGGCCGCCGGAATTCCGACCTCCAACTGCCGAGAGAAGCAAAAACAAACAAAAAAAAGACTTGAATCGTGACACTTTTTATGGCGTTTGCCCAAAAAACATATATCGAAACATGTTTGTATGCTATTACTGTATTTTTGCCTGTCGATAATAAATCAGTCGGAGATTTCCTTACACCGTTTCAATGTCTAACATCTTAAGTGTGCGTTTTGTTTTCGAAGACCTAAAAATTACCGGTATCTCGAATAGACCTATTCGTCGACACGTTGACGATACGCAGAAAGAACTCTCGGTGTAGGAAATGGCTTTTCCACTTTCAACTTTCGGACTCCACAAAAAGAAAAGCCAACAAGAGGACTCCGAACGCATCATGGAACTGATTTGTTTTTCAACTGCAGTCATGTCGGGACTTGTAGTTTTAATTGTGATTGGACTTTCGCACGCCCGTTCAATGAATTATCGAAAACAACCGAGCATAAGCGACACTTTGAGACGACATTGGCGACAACAAAGCCACCTGGAAGTGCAACTAAACTCGTTTTTTTCTGTTCAGTTAGCTTAGCTATGGCTAACTCCACGACTTCATGGACCAGTGTGCAAGCCGGACTGGTGGTCGTACTTTAGACAGACAGCTGAGACGGCGGCACTTGCTGATTCAGCAGTTTCCGGATCGTGCAGTCGATGGGGTCACTGCCGAAATAGTGACTGACCACTAACACTATTTTACATCGTAGAGTGGATATTACAGATGGAATTCAGTCATTTAAGAATGGTCTCTCTAAAGTAATCACATAAAAAATATATACAAGACTAGTTTTACACTGTCTGTGACCCCATTAGGAAATAAGCGGTAACGATAATGGATGGATGGATGGAAAATGGATGGAAGTTATACATAGAGATTTACATTCAAAACAATTATGGGCATTTGTGTGATCTATGTTTTAAAATGTATATTTATTAGGTTACTGTCTGTTTATCTTTTTCATATGGACTTCTTACACTTTACACTTGTGACTCATCTTACAAATGATTTAAGAGAGTAATTTTGTCAAATAAAATTATTAATTCTTTATGTCTGAGCTTCTAAAGAGACCCCAGCCTGTCCTGGCAGAGGGTTTGATTGATGACTTTTCTAAAGGCCATTCCTTAATTTCCTTGGCACCACGCTGAGTAATCGATCGCTTACTCTCATTTTGATGTTTTATAATTGCCATTTTGGAACAGAGCAATGTCAGGTCTCTTGTTGTCCACCCAGAGTTGATATGTGTTAATCCAAATCTAAATCTAATCTAACACAATCTTGTGTTTTAACATTAACAGTTCATTCATTTCTATTAAGTGACCCACAACCTTCTAGACTCTTTTTATGTGTCTCCCAAGAGCAGTCAATCATTTGCAATCGATGAAGAGCATGACGGACCATCACAGGCCCTGCCACCTCTGTCAAGCAGGTTGTCATTGGACATGCAGCAGACTGATCGATGCCAGAAAATTGATAGAATTGAGAGGGCATCAGCAAAAAGTGTTAAACTTTCAACTGCTTTGCCACCTTTCGCATCACATTCTAAACTCGTTGGAGTGGTGATGTGCATGGTCATCAACTTATGTCAGTACTTTGATGAACTGGTCATGGGGCTGTCTTGCTCTCGCTAATGAGTGGGTGGATAAATCATAATTGTTATTGGTGTAATATTGGTGTAATAACATTTTATCCTGAGACTTCCCTTGTAACTCGTGTATGTGTACATACAGATGTAAGTAATTATTTGTCTTAAAAGGCAGAGATGAACTTATTTCACCCCTGCATCTCTAATTCTCTGGCATCCAGTGAGTGTGTTTAACAAGAATATGAATATTCTACATCATGCTGCATTACTGTCTACAGCGTTTTTATTTTTACTCTTAGAGGCAAATGCCACTGATATAGAGAGAATGGCAAAGTTTCACCATGAACCCTGAGACATTTAGCTATCCCATGACCTTTCCTCAAACTCAGAGAATGTATGGAGAACTTGCAGATGACAGGAGCAGCCTTTTCTAAAGGTTAATATGACCATGCCTGCTCAGAAATAGTCTTAATGTGCTTGAGTACTGATTTATATGGTGGAAATGCCAGATAAGAACAAACATGTCTTTTTCTGGAGTTAAAAACTCAGCAGAAAAAAACAAAAAAGTTTACACAATGGAGACCAAACAATTCTCGTCAGAATTCTTAAAAGGGGAGCTGCTACAAAGCTTCTCCTTACATCAACACTTTTCCCACAGTCGTTACCAGTATTCATGGATATGCTCCCTCTCATATTCACAGCAACAGAAATCAACCACCCTGCAGTTGTCGAAAAATGTTGTTTGTTACACTTATGGGTTCAGAAATCACATCAATATAAGTGCTCAATATTATCTGAGAATTTTTGGAGCAGTTTTATGGGGAATTGAGCAATCTCCGTCAAACAGATTTAAACTGGTTTTACGTGACATAAGTTGTTACACAAAAAAGTTCCTTTAAAATATTGGCAGCCAGAGTGCCCTTGTTAGACTTCATTTAGTAGTACGAATAAAGGATCGGTGACTCAGAAAAGCAGAAAAGGGAGCGTCAATGCTGCCCTCTACTATGAAAAGGCCCCTGGAGCTAGAATTCAAACTCAGTCTCACATTTAGTGTCATACTCACTCACACTTGCCATCACACTCTGTCACACACTGTACACTAACGTGATTACATCTAGTTTAAGTGTCACATTCAAGCTGGCCATAATTAACCCAAGCTCTGTTTTTGAGGTTGAAAATAGCGCGTAGCACTGCTGCTTGAAACATTCATGTATACTCAATTATATGATAAGAGACAAACCCTTCGGTTTATTACTGAGACTGCCCTTTAAATCCATTTAGGGTTTTCTGTGGGGTAAATCTGAATCATGGGTGGCAAGCAATGAGTTATTTGCAACTCACTGGTGGGGGGGGGGGGGGTTTTTTTGTCCCAAAAAAAAACAGCTGCGCCATCTAGTGCTCACAGGCTGACACCACCACTACAGAGCAGCATTTATTTCTGATACTTCTCTCCATAGGTTCACAAAAACCCAAATCAAACTATGACTGGATGAAAAATGGGCTCTGATTAAATTGGTCATGCCTTTCTATATAGTGCATTTCATTTTTGACTCACTGTTTGTTTGGTGGACCACTGGTTATAAAATATGTGGATTATGGAAACTTGGTGACAATAAAAGGGGTTATTTTTCTTATTTTCTGGTCTCATTGGTAGCTCCACTGGCTCTCCTTTCTGCTGAAGAATACCATGCATAAGGGGACTCATCGAGATTTGAACACTGCTTTAACAGACAGATGCATCAGCAGTGATATACAAATAATACAAAGTGATGACTATGTTGATGATGTCGTTATTTCTGCTCTAGAATGCACCCTGTGATGATGAGGGAAGGGCTGATGCAGCGATATACGAGTACTCTTTCATACTGTTATGTTTCTGTGTGTGTGTTCTTTAACTGTAATGTCCTTATATCCCATGCAGTGATCCCGGGATTTGTAGAATGTTTCTGTTTTAAAGATGGCCAGTAGGTGGCGCATTTCACTCAACATTAGGGACAGTGAGCCTCAAGCTGGGATGCCAGTTTATTGACATATTAGACAAAGGCAGGTAAAAATAACGATTCTACAAATGTAGTTTCACTTTTACATCAAGACTTGATCTGAATAAGCTAAATATTTATATAAAAATAAATATATCTTAGTTATTTTCCTTGCACAGTGCTTTTTTCTAGTCACATATATTGACGTTTAGAATGAATCTGCACTGTTGTCTGCATCCTTCCTTATTACACTAAAGTTGGAGACTAAACTTTAAGACTTGAGGAGCTACATTTTGTGCTACAACTCTGTGACAGACAGTCCCCAATCACTGTGACCCTAAACAGGAAGCCGGCATTCACATGAATTGATCTTGAATCCAGACTGAATCTGTGAGAGCAATGAGCACTGTTGCTCTACGAGTTAAAAACCTGAATATATTGAGGTATATATTTAACACTATTGTTAAAGTGTTGGGAGAGATTTAACAATGAGATAAAAGTGTCTTCTTT